CTGTAGTGATTAATTCTCTTTAGTGATTCAAATTACAACCCACGTCTCTTCTTTTAAACAGGAGTACAGCCGTTACTGCAGGAAACACTTCAGCAAAGAGCTGTCGTGGTCTGACAAGTTAGAGTTTGTGAGCGGCTGGTATATCCTTATTATCGTCAGCGACACACTGACCATCATTGGTTCCCTTCTGAAGATAGAGATCCAAACAAAGGTAATAACATTTTAGCAAGTTCGTTGTGATAGCCGTTATTATTTTCTGTTTGATACTACAAGTATTTTTTTGAGTTCATCACTCATGTTTTTTTCCCTCCCAGGTCCTCACCAGCTATGATGTGTGCAGCATCTTCCTTGGCACAGGCACCATGTTTGTCTGGATAGGGGTGATCCGTTATATGGGATACTTCAAGAAGTATAATGTAAATCTGTCACACAGTAGTAGATTTTTTGTTTTAATAGACCTCCAGACATGATTAAACATGTATAAAATCCTTTTTTATTCATTAGAAAGGGTTAAATAATTAGAACCATTTGTTCATAGGTCTGAAAAGAAGATGCAGCTTTTCTTATTGTCTTCGTGCATAATGGCAGTGTGTGAAAGACTAAAGCTTAATAGGACCTCAGAATACTTTAAGGTCTCTGAATGGCCAGTTGTGGGAAAACTAGACCCAGTAAACTTGAAGATATTCTCAAAGAGAGAATGATTCACAAACTTTTGCACGTGTTCATTTCCAGATCCTCATCCTGACACTCCGGGCAGCTTTCCCAAATGTTATTCGTTTCATCTGCTGCGCGGGAATCATTTACCTGAGTTACTGTTTTTGTGGCTGGATTGTCCTAGGCCCGTATCATGAGAAGGTAACAAGCATTGTACTTAACACAAAAAAAGGCCTGCTTTACTTTACTGAGGCCAAATTAACTTTTTTTAAATCAATGCAGTGGGAAAAAAAAAATTCACGTGGTGCTCTGTAAATGTCTTTGCAGTTCCGGACGTTGAACACTGTGTCAGAGTGTCTGTTCTCGCTGATCAACGGAGACGACATGTTTCCCACTTTTAAGAACATGCAGCAGAAGAACAGCCTGGTGTGGATGTTCAGCAGGGTCTACCTCTACACCTTCGTGTCACTCTTTATCTACATGATCCTCAGCCTTTTCATCACACTCATCACTGACACCTATGACACCATCAAGGTATTGCTACCTTTCTACTAACTTTGTCATTGGTTTTTGTGTTTTTTAAATGCACATTCTGCTTTGAATGCTGTAGAAGAAAGTTTTAAGCGCAGGTCTAACAAAAGGTTTCTAAGAAAGCCTTAATAGTTGAAATGGTGTCTGAAACGCTTAACAAGCATGCACTCTGTATCTACTGTCACTCTCCGACTTGCATCATTTAGCAAGAGCAGCAGAGTGGAAGCCCAACATCAGAGCTGCAGAGATTCTTGTCAGAATGTAAAGACCTGCCAAACTCTGGGGCGTACAGACTTGACAAGAACAACAGCTGTTTCCTAAACTGCTTCAACAACAGGTAAATCCAGACTTCTGCTCTACAGCACTTCTTTGCTCTTTAGCTGATATTGCACCGCTTACCTGAGATGTCCGTTGGTAATTAAACTTGAGGTGCAAGCGCAAATTTGTCATATTGTTGTAACAGAGACTCTCCCCCCACCTTCCTTTCAGATGCAGGAAGTATCGAACTCAAGAGAGGCTGACTTCAGAGGCGTGACATGATTTCATTGTGGAAACGCATTAAAAATTATAATTAATGTGCACTTTAACCTGTTATATTCAGTTACAGAGGGATTTTTTTAACCTTACTGAACCCATCTGGTTAGAAGTGAAGCACTGTGATGCACTTCTCCTAGTTTCATATGAACACTGTATGAAAATGTTGTTTTTAAATCAAGCACGTCATACTGGAAGTTGCAAATTCTAGGTAATAAATCAAGGTTCAATGAAGAAGTTGAAATGTGTATTAAATGATTTTATTTCCCCATCATCAGGAGAAGGTATTGGTATAAAAGCTAATATTGTAGCGTTTTACTCTTCACATTAGTTAATCCTCTGTAAAATCTTGTTACAATTTAAAAAAAAAAAAAAAATCCCATTTCATTTCATGGTAATAAGACAACCCATACATCTGTCAGCACAGTAAAATAATCAAGTCTTTTGTGTCTTTAAAAGCAATATCCGCAAGCAGATATTGTATATGGCTCCACAGTGAGTGCTGTAGCAGTGGATTATTTCCCAAGAGAAGAGTTGAGCTCCTTTGATAAATTACTGCTGGAGAGGTCAGAGATCAATTCAAACAAAGATGTTCCATTCTTGCATTTAATGAAGTTGTAAACAGACCACACACACAAACTCCACGCTGCTTAAATGCATCTTCCTTTCATCGAATATGCCGTCCAACTTGAAGCCTTGCACCTGAAGCCAAAATCCATTATTTTCTTTTTGGCTTATGATTTTGGGATACATAATCCAGCCACCAGTGACCACTACAACCATCTGTTTGTTGGAGTGACTTTATGCAAACTTCCAGAGTAAACAGACATCACTGGTAGAGAGGTCTCTTATAAAAGCAGCCAACCAGTGACATCACCAATATTTAAAAAAAAAAAAGTTGTGACCTTTCAATAAAATAAATTCCCAAGTCTTGTAATCATAAATTTCACATGATTTTTAAGTCACGATGCCAGTTTTGAGAGCTTGATTTCCTCGCAGGATTGCTTTGTATTCTTCCTGATCGCACAGGAAATCAGTCAGGACAGTCCAAAAAGGCAGGAATTCCTACAGGTTACAAACCCTCCTTAAATGTAAAAAAAAAAAAACCAAACAAACCCAAAAGCAAAATGCCAGAGCTTGTTACTTCATTTAGTATGAAAAAAAAACCCCGCTGGTCAGCGTCAGCCTAGTTTGGACTGGTTTATTCCAGAGGGAGGTGGAACCCGTTGCTCCTCCATCCTGTTGGATTGGGAACGCAGGATGAGACTGAAAAAATCCTCATCAGGAACAGTCGATGCTTTAGTTGTAGGTGGTGGAGCAGCACACCTCTGGTCATTCAGTCTGGAACCCTAAAACACAATCGAGAGTTAAATTATACCAACTGAAGTGTTTAGTGATGCTTTGCACGTATCAGAATTGATTAAGCCCTGATTATACTTTAATAGGCATAAAGCAGAAACTGGTAAGTGAGGAAACTCATTTCCAGGGTAGTGGTGCAGTATGGAAACTGATAAAAATTAGAAATGAGTGGCCTAATATTTTCTATTCTGAGGTCCAGTAGATTGTTTTCCTTGTGGACGGACTCTGATCGGCTCTTCACTGCTCTATGAGGGGGATCCTGCAGTATATGAGCGGAGCTTACGTCCGCCTTTATGGCTCCTTTCCCACCCCCCAGCTAGAATATAGCATGCATAAAAATATAAGATGTTACTAAACAACATCATCAGCTTAAATTGACGACTCCTGCCAACGTCACTCTCAGTAAATCCTGTTACTCGATCGTTATATAGAAACACATCAAGGCAGTAATGTTGAAACAGTGTCTGTTAACTTTAATCTCAATGGTCAACATGACATAAAAGCTGCTTGTGCAGAATATCAGCTCAAATCTAATCAGAAACACTAATAAGGTTTTAAAAGCTTTCTCTCCTGAAAGTTACACTTTTACCACCATCATGTCTCTCTCCTATAAGGTGACTGTGGTGCAGTGCTAGGTTAGGTTCTGTGTAACACCAGTGCAACATAGACCATGACTGGAAACTATACCACAGTACTGTAAACTGCCCATTGTAGCCTGCATCTAGTCTAGTATAAACATTGAATAACAAAGTTGTTACCATTTCATTTGTTGCCAGATTTGTAACCACATAACTTTAAGCACGGTGCTTGCTGATTTTACCTCAGGATAATGAGGATGTGCAGAAAGAGCCCTTTGTCATCTCCAAGGCTACAGCTGGGAGGCCTGCCACGCCACAGCCCATGAAAATTCTCACTTGACTGCATTAAACTGCCTATCACACATAGACATTAACTCACTTTTCAAATACCCAACTTGGTTGAAAAGTACATACATGAGTCCCTTTTTGTCTTGGATATTTTGTGGAATGAACTGGGTAATATGGTGCCAATTAAGAAGGACTGCCCTGCACTTTCAATGAAATGGCAATGCCTTGTTTAACCTGGAGCACAGTCAGCATGAGAAGACAGTGTACAGCAGGCTTTGAGGTCTCTTGTTTAGTATGAATAATCCTGAATTATCCAACCATGTTCAAATTATCGAAGCTACTTCCTGGGACCTAAATTCATGGACCCAGAATCTAAGTGTTATCAAATGGAAAACTTTAAGGGCAGAGATTCTTAATAAGAGTTATGTACAAGGCAGGACGTGATGCAATGAATTTTCTTTACCTGGCATTTGACTAACATGTCGAAGAAGACATCATCCCCCTCGGGCTGCTCAGAACTGGCCTCGAGACGACCGTACAGGGAGGGTGTGCGAGTAGTATTTGCAATGGGGACTGGGACTAGGAAGAAAACCAGAAACCCTTTACCTGATATTATGGGGAGTAATGAAAGGATAAAAATGGGCTTTTCCTTGCATTCTTTACCTTGTGACTGGACTTGATCTGTGTTGGAGGTGGAGGGTGTACAAGGCGGGTTGGAGGTGCTGACACGTAAGCCAGGAAAAGGGGTCATGCTGACTCGTTGGTCGTCCAGACGGCGGGCTTGGGAGCTGGCCAGCAGCTCCAGGAAATGACCAGGATCCTGGTATAGTCGTTCGCGCTCTGAAACAGCTACAAACAGACATAATTATTATGTGTGTGAGTAACCAATGGAAGTGAGTTAACTGTTAGTTGGGCAATTAGCAACATTTAATCCTGACTTTGTACACGTCAAAAGAGGGCAGTATCTTAAAGCAATCCTCCACCCAAAATGAAGTGTGCTGCTTCAAATAGTCCTCGGAGGTTTGAAAGCTGGCTGAAAAGAATTTGCCCTTCATAGAGACTGCTGGGTGTGATAAGCTGGGACTCATGGCCGTTACAGACGAGCGCAATGATAACAAAAAGGCTCATAAACACCACTGTGCTCACTGAAGGATAAAACCACAAATATAGCTTTTTGGGTGGAGAATCACTTAAGGTCATCTCTGCCATGAGGAAAAGCAACATTCAACATGTAAAAGGATAATTCTGTGACATTCACACCACAATACGCCAGCACTGCGAGTGTCTTCTCTGTAGCTCACTCGTATATTACCTGGCACCTTTTTAGATATGGCGTGAACATCAGTAAGGACACAAGACTGACTCACATTTCTTTTCAGCTACAGGTGGGACGGAGAAGGGAGAGGGATGGGCAGGGAGATGGCTGTTGCCATCCAGTGTACACCTTTGCTCGTCCATTCTGTTGCCCTGGAAACGAGAGAGGACGTCGAAAAAGCTGTCCTCGCCGATAGTGTCCCGAGTTTCTGGCTACAAAAACATTAAAAATCTATAAATAAATAATGAAGCAGGTTTAATAACAACAGAAAACGCTGCAGATAACGGAGGTACTCAGAACAGCTTAAACAAACAAAACAGTAAAGCTAAAACAATTTGTTAATTTGACCTTTGACAGAAAATTAAATCATTTTAATAAAGATGCCATTTGTGTTCTGGGAGATTTTGATGAACACTTTCTCTCTTTTCCAACATTTTAGAGGCAAAACTGACTAAAAGGTAAATGTGGGAATACAAGAGATTAACATTTACACTCTGGCGGAGAGTGGATGTTTGCTGATACTTATGCATCAGTATACTATAAACAGCTATGAATACAATAAGATATGATAAGTATCCTGAGTGGTTTTCGGCTTCCTTTGTTAACACAGCCCTTCTTCATCTGGTGCACACAGTTTGTTACACTAACTGTGATGCAGTTAAATATACAACAGATTCTCTGAACACTGCGCTACTTCCGGATGCTCTCTTGTCACAAGGGGTAACCACAGCAGGTAGCTCTACATGTTTCAGTTAGCATAGGTTTATACCGGATGCTCTTCCCGATGAATCTATCCAATGCAATTTGGGTGTATAATAATTCAATGATGAATAATAAAAAAAAAATAAATAAATAATAATAATAATAATTAATATAATTAGGAAAATAAATGGTAAACAAGTGGCACTTTTTTCCCCCCTTACAGATGATTTAAAAATACTCTCTGCAATAGATGAGGTGGCACATCTAATCTGGTGAGGGTCCTGTACTACAAAGTGAGTTCAACATACTTATTATATCTTTGAATCAGAATAAGTAGTTACATAAAGCTGGTTATAAACTCATCAACTTAGCCCAGGGTTTCCCAGAAAGAGTGCTGCTAGCAGCAGAGTGCTGCTGCTAGCAGCACTCTGCTGCTAGCAGCAGCACTCTTTCTGACCAATCACAACTTGGGATAATTGTACTAGCAGCAGAGTGGATGATTTTTACAAAGAAAGCCCCTTTTTTGTGTAGCAATTTTTCTTATGATTGTTTCTTGTTTTTGTTTATTCATATTAATTTTTTCTCATAATAACACATCAACATACTCCAAGACAGCTGCAGGCACATAGAGGACAAAAGCTTAGATTCACTAGTTTACAGTTTATTACTACAAGTGTTACATTTTTCTACAAATTCACTTAAATCTGAAACAGCCTGTATTCTAACAGACAAACGGTTTCCCTTTAAGCAAGTACTTGGAAGCAGTAGGAAGAAAAACAACAACGGGCATAAGACAGAAACTATGACTCCATGCTGCTACACCGAAACTTCCTCCCACAGCATTAACACTTTTGTGGAAAGGCATCTGTGTCAGGTTGTGTCACAGGCTACATGCTCACTTTTAACTTTTAGGCTGAATCATCACTGACCAGAAGCTCAGCGATGATTCCAAGAATGTTTTGAGTGGGTTACGTTTTTCTGCCTGCTTTAACTTACACATACCTTCTGAGGCACTGGTGCTTCCAGCTCAGGCTCCGTGTCCTTGGTGCAGGTTTTGCGCTGGTCTTCCGGAGAGGATTTGTCATCCTTCTGCCTTTTGCTTTTTGTCCAGGGGAAGGGGAAAAGCTTACTGGAAGCCTTGACTGAGTTGTTTTTTGAAGACCCAGAGAACGCATCTTCCCCCCAGCCCTGTATATATAAAAGCACACAGAACATACGACTTTCTTACTGACAGACTTACAAGATCAGTCTATTTTTTTTAACCTACCACAGGCTGGGTGAACAGAGCAGAAAGTACCATTCTTTGCAGAGCATTTTTCATGTAAAATTAACTCTTTTTGTATTTAATGTGTTTTCATTGTCAGAACAGCTGTTTTTTGTTACTCTGTTCCACTTTGTCTCCTAAAAATAGTGAAAATAGTCAAACTAATAAAACTAAAAATTTGGCTAGCCTAATTTAAAGCTCAGGAGTTTGGACCATTTCATTTGTTATGGCCAGTTTTGAAATAAGACTGAGCACAGTTAGTTTTACGTACTGGGTGTGCCGGCAAATCTCCCCTTTGACTTTTGGGGGAATTTTGACTGAAATCCAAGTTCTCTTCTTTACTTCTGTTCAAGGATGCATACTTGGTCCCTGAAACAAAACAAAAAAAATTAGCCAGTGTGGCCACATTTCTGGAAAAACAATGATTCAGTGAAGCATCACAGCATAAAGCTACAGGACACAAGCAAATGGATTTCTGAATCTTAACAGCATGGGTTTGGTGTTAAAGAGGACTCGACTCTTGTTCATGCGCATTACACACATGCAGAAGTGTAAAAATAAACTGGTTAACAAAGTCCAGATTTACCTGGTATGCTGGGGAAACCCTGGTAGCCTTCTGTCAGAGCAGAGCTATTTGCATTGGTGTTGCCGAAGAGGTAGGGATGAAAGTTTGGGTTGGACTTGAGGCCTACAGCCAACCGTAGGTCTGACAAGTTCATCCTGGCAGTGGCCTCGCTACTTTTATCTCCGGTCTGCACCAATGACAACATTACAGTTTACTGTGAGCATACGATATATTTCTATTTCTACATCTGGCTTTACAAATACATATACAATTATTTCCTGTTGTTCCCTACTCAACCAGCAGATGGAGGTGTGGCCCGATAAAACTACTGACTAGACTCCTAAAAGAGCAGGAAAACTGTAAACAGTCACCTCTTTGGCAATTTCTAGATGTTTCTCAGCAAACTGCATGGCTTGCTCATGATTCCCCAGGGCTGTGTGGGCATTTCCTAGACTCCAGTAAGCTCTTCCTTCACCGACGCTGCAGCAAGACAGAACAGTCTGAGTAACTTCATGTGAAATTATGCAATAACGGGTAGTCATACATCAAATTATCACACACTGCAATTACAACAGCTGAGACTAAAATTAGGTCATGTGTATTTCACAACAATAGTGGGTATTTAACATTTCCACGCACAATTTGCTAAAATCTATACATATTAATGACAGCTAGTTTAAAAACCAAAACAAAAAACATTCAAGATTTATTCAGCACCGCCTATGTTAAACCCTTTTACAAGACTAAAAAGAAAACCATCCCCCCCCTCAAAAAAATAGAACAAAAAAAACCAAAAAAAAAACAACAACACACAAAACAAAACATTTCTACATTATAAAATAACCATTGTTCCCAAATATCCTGCAGAGCCTTTATATAAAGCTCATCTATAAGCACTTAACCAATTACAACATGAAATGACTGTAAATGCTGCTCCTTGGGACTTTTTGCTTTTGGATGTTTGTTTTAACACCACAGCGGCCACCCACATGTTAAGTGCACAATCTGATTACACTTCTGAGGACAGTTTGGCAGCAAAGCTGACAACAACAAAAGGCTTTCAGTGGTATACCGGTCGCTAAGATCCTGAGCAATGACCAGATGTTTGAGGTGGTAATCAATAGCTCTCTCATAGTCCTGCAGTAGCGTGTAGGTGTTTCCCAGACTATAACAGGCCTGAGCCTCCACAGCTCTGTCCTTCAAAAGCCTGGCCAGCTGCAGAGTCCTCCTGAGGGTGAAAGAGAAGAGGAGGAAGGTCAAACAATGTCTAGGGCGGGTGCAGGACAATGATTGTTATCTGCTCTTTTCTGTTCTCCTTGTTCTCATTTTCTAAGGACATCCATGTCAAGGAAGTGCTGGAATGACAGACTGACAAGTTACAACATTTGACAGTGTTCCTGTAAGCAAGTCATTAAAAAAATACTATGCTGCTCATAAAAACTAGGGAGGAAGTGCAGCCAAAAAAAACTCCTCCTAAGCTGCTGGGATGAACTCATCCTCCAGTGTAAATCACTTAGGTTTAATCTGATTCTTGTTCTCTAACTCGTTTATAGCTGTCTGTTCATGTGTAAAAGGTTTTAACGTAGCATTTATGGTACAAAGAGGAGAACAAAGAGAAGCCCTAAAAGTAAAAACTGTGCTTTCAGCAGACTTTTCTTTCTGTCATGCCACAAATGAAGTGAGAAAGATGATGAGCCTCACTTGTAATGACCGGCCGCCACGTCAAACTGTTTGAGGAATATGTGTGCATTGCCAAGGTTGCAGTGGGCCCTCCTCTCAGCAGACCTATCCCCAAACTCCTTAGCAACGAGAAGGCGCTATCGAATAAAAAGAGTGCATGTTACTCTTATCTTATTAAAGAATGAGTTAAGCATCATAACAATACTGGCCAAGCTCCTAAACAAGCATCAAAGAGCGTTGTGAGTACTTCGGCACCTACCTTTTCATGTGCAGCTACTGCGTTTTCAAAGTCTCCTAGCAGATAGTAAGTGTTTCCAAGGTTCCCGTAGGTACGACCCTGGGCCGCTCGATCGCCCAGCTCCGTCACCAGGTGCAGGTTTGCTCTTTGTTCACAATAACAAGAAGATGCTCACTTATAATTGAAAACTGTGGCAGAAACACATGGCTGTTGTCTTAGGTTTTCTGGGTGATTCTGTGATGACTGAGTGAGATTTGACAAAAAGACACTTTTCCTTTTGTTTTTCTAGTCGTCAACAAGAAACTGATCAGTCTGGGCCGGCCACTGGACAGACAGACGAAGATTTGCTTCGACTTGGGTTTAATGCCAATCGGAGCTTGTCTGCTACTTCTTTTTTTTTTTTTTAAACTCTTGACGGACCATCTTATGACCTACATCTTGAGAGCACAACCACCCAACAACTTAAGAAGTAACTTTAGCAACAGTTTATTTTTTGTGTGCGTTTTTTTTTTTCATTTGAATGGATCAGTGGAAGATTACATACCATTTTTTCTACAAATCGTCTTTGTCTACATGTGCATGGTGGTCATTGCATAATGAAATAACAGCAAACAATTAATAATGACAATTTTGATTAGAGCTGCATGGGACACAACGGTTTCTTTGTCACTCCAAACGGTTCAGTTATATAAAAATCGCCTGCCGCTGATGCAAAGACATTGATGTTAGTCAGTGAAATGTGAGGCAATGGAAATGATTATTAAACAACTTTATTACAAACACCATACACCACCCTAGCACCTCAGAGCTGTCTTAAGCTCTATATCTAATCCATTCTGGCGAGCTCATTTTTTAAACAACTTCCAACCGTGGCACAGTTCAGCGTCTTAGTCATATCTCATCGGGACCTTTGCAGTAAACAAAGCAAAATCAATGCTTAGAGATAAACAGTGATGCCAACTCACTCGTAGTACTGCGCAGCTTTCCTCAGGGCTATCCTTGCCTCCTCTGAAAACTCTCCTGGCTCTGCTCCACTCCAGCAGATGCTCTTGCCCTTGGCGTGGTAAACGTTTCCGAAATTATACAGCGCTCGAGCCTGCCCGACCTACAACACGCACAACAGATTTTCACAGACGGAAACCAGAGTGACCCGCGTTGTAATTACATACTTAAAATACACAGACACCAGACTTTGGTGCTTGCATGCAGCCTGCAGAACTATTCTAGATGCTGGTACACAGAGTCAATGCAGTCGTCACGTGTGCTCGAAGTGTTCTGTGGCTCCACAGCACGTTACGAGGTACAGTTGTAACAAATTTGGATCCATTTATGCTAATCAAAGTATATGAGCATTTTAGTCACAGACTAAAATGTTTATTGACAAAACAGTGAAAATAATTTAATCTTATGTTGCTAAAATAAAAAACAGCTGGGGGATGCTCCGCTTGTGTTGAAATAATAAATGAAACATCACCCACCTTATCATATATGGCTCTCGTGATTTCCAAATGTCTTTGGCAGCAAACCACTGCTTCGTCATACCGTCCTAAAAGCTTTAATGTGTTTCCAAGGTTACCGCTGGCTTTGGCCTCTCCAACTTCATCTCCAATTGTTCTGGGATTGTAATGAAGATTTAAAAAAAAAAAAAAGCATTAGGAAATAATTAGATTGGAATATCAGTGTATTCCTTATGTGTATTAGATGGAAAACACAAGAGGCAAGAAAGTAATTTGCAGCTGCAAGCAGTAATACGCTGGAGTCTAGTTTAGCAGTTTAATCAAGGAGGGGAGATATAGTGATTAAAAAAAAAAAAGTTGTAGCACTTAATCCTGAATGTATTGTTAGACTATACATGTGTGCGTGTGTGTGTGTAGGCTGACCAAGGTCAAAACAGTTGAACTCAAAAGACATTTGGATGATTTGTTTAACAACCATATTTTAAAAATGTTCACCTGGTGAGTGTGAGGTCATGCCGATGGTATTCCAGAGCTTTATTATACTCTTGAAGGTGAAAGTAGGCATTTCCCAGCTGGCTGTAGATGGCACTGAGGATCTGGAGGTCCTCTGTTCCAACCTGGATGGCAGACTCAAAGAAGGACACACCCGCTCGGTAGTCCCCGGTCTTACAGAGCCGCTCACCTTCCAGAGCGAGGTCCAGACATGATGACTCCATCCTGCAGGGAGGCGGGACCAGGCGAGAAATCACAGTGTGTTTAATCACAAGGCTGAAATACCTTACTAAATCAGAAGAATGACAAATCAGTTATAATTCTCCCCTACACCCTTACTCATGCTAAGCCACAAAACTACAACTCAATACTCTGTCACATCTAGATAAGTCCACAGTCCCGAACATAAGTGTGGACACACTCATCCATTCAAATGTACGGTACAGATTGTTTTTTTCTTCCAAATTACTTAAACTGATTACTCTTGACTAGGTTTTGATTAACCAATCAATTTCCTAGCACATTAGAAAAAAATATTCATGTATTCAAAAATGATGTAAAAGAGCAGAAAATTATCATTTAAGAGAATCTGCTGCCAGCGAGAGATGGCAAAAATTCCATTTTGGTTGTTTGAATTATTCAACAGATCACATTTAGCAAAAACCTTTCTGAAGTGACTTAACAACAAATTTACAAATTGTTCAAGCAAAATCTGAAACAACCACTTTTTAAATTGCACGAATGTCCTTTGCTACAAAGAAATAAGCTAAAGTGCCACCGCAGAGAGATCATCTGTGTTTTGAAACGGGGCCAAATAACCTGGAGGTTAGATCACTCAACTAACACATGAACTCATCTCACTGGCTCACTGTGGAGATCCCTTTTTAACAGTCAAATTACCACACAACACAAGAAAGAGAAACTCCAAATGAGAAGCAGAAAAAAAAACCCTCCAGAATGTGAAACCAGACCCAACAACTATAATTCCAAAATAGGACCAAGCATTTCCTGTCCAACTCCTAAACTGCCACATTTACCCTGAAATGACAACGTGTACTTTACATTTAACCATGACATTAGCTAAACTAATCTCACATTTTTGCACTCTCAATCATCTTTTACTTTTTTCAGCTTCAAAACTGTCAGTGAAACAAAACCAAGAGGGGAAAAAATCTGTCATGAGCAAATCCATAATAAATTTGTAAAACAAATCCAGTCATGCACGGCTGCAACAGATTCCCAACTACAGCATTAACATGACTTGACTTGTTGATTGATACTAAATTTGGAGGAACAGCAATATTGCTCTGCATTAAAACAAAGCGGTTTACTTTTATGAACTGGGTTAAAATTTGTGTGCCTGCCACAGGAAAAGCACACACATGCAGGCATTTCTTCTTAATCAGAACAATCACAGGTTTATAATTACCCTTGCACACTTGTGACCCCATCCCCCAAAGAGACCATACCAGTTATCCCCCGCCCCCTCAACCCTCGGAGGAAATGAAACCACATTCTGCAGTGTTGTCTGCAATACTATTTGGTTTGTTAGGTTGCTCCATTCAGGAATTAACAAGTAATTTATGAATGGCAAAATGTGGTTTCATAGGATTCATTAAAATAAATAAATAAACAAACTAATATATCTTCATCTGTGATGTGCTGCATTTACTTTCTAAACTTAGACATTTCCTCTTCTGAATGTTCCAGGCTACTTGAGCACGCTTTGGTTACAAGAATAGAAGTATTTAATCTCAGCTAGAGGGCAGAGATGTTCTTTCAAAAGGTTAAAAGTAATGGAAATAAACTAAACCTTTTCTTACTAAAGCACTAATGCATTAAAAAAAAAGGATGTCTTTATTGTTTAGAATATGTTGAAGACTTTAAATTCCACAAAAACAGTAACTGTAAGCTGTTGAGACGTATGTGTACAATGTAGGACCTCAGAGCACCACAGTGTTTCCTGTATATTAACATGCTTTCTGACATGTAACTGGACATTTTGTTGCTCCCGGTCAAAGACAAGTGACAATCCAACACCCTGGCTCACATACCTGTCGCCTCTTCCCCTTCTGATGCACTCGAGACAAGTTGACACGACAGACATTTCAAGCTTCTCAATGACTCTCAGGAGCAAACCCAGCTCGTTCAGCACTGCACCCTTTATCTTCTCTACCTTCGCGTGCATACACATAACGCACACAGCTACGGTGTCTCAATTTCAAAGAAATAAAGAAAACCCCCACGGATAGGCCGCCTTCCCTGCGTGCGCCCCGCTAACTCGTAGCAGCAAAACAAAGGACTTAATCCTCTCAGCGTTCACGTCGACCTTGATGGCCAGGTGAAAGGCTGGGAGACCTTTTGTTTAGGTGAAGACGGATTAACAGCAGGCCGTTACGGAGCTGATATGATTTAAGTTAGAGCAGTCCGCGAGGCTGGCATGTTCAAATGATTGTTATATTTCTCACTTAGCCATTGGTAACCTGCACATCTAATCCACCTGATGGTATGTGTCACTTCCAATTAGGCCAGACCTGCGACGTAATTCTAGTCACTTTAAGTGGCTCTAGTGAACCCTAAGGCTATTTGCTTGACTCCACATGAAATAATCATTCTGCAGCATGCAGTCTGGATGTACACACATTCTACTTTCTACACATTCTTACTATTAACATATAAAAATGTTTTACCTGGACAATAGTGTTCATTTTAATAAGACACGTCATCTTTCATTAGAATGACTCTCTGTGATTTCTTTTGGCAAATCCCACAGTGGACAGCATAGAGATGTATTAGGTACAGAAAGCCAAAAATAAATTCACACCCCTTCACAATCCCTGAACCAAAGCTTCTCGTATCTCAGCTGTTGCGGATCTGAAGAAATCCACTTGTCTGAATTAAGAAGGCTGGACCAAAGTGCCCTCTGGGGTGGACATTTCCTCATCCTTGTCCACGATCACTAGAGCAAGCCATGTGACTTTAAAGCCACCACCTCAGCTGACCAAACGCCAGGTCAATTGTTATACAAAGAGGTGAACGTTGGTGCACGTAGAAATGTATTAGACAAGAAAATGCATTAGTAAAATTCTCCTAATTAGCTATGAGTTACTTATGTAGGAATAATAATATAGAAATTGTACATCTTCCTGCTACTTCCCATTTATGACTATGACTTCAAAGTAAAAGAAAATCCCCATTATCAGGTTGTCTTATTTACCTGCATGCTAGCTGTTGCTGAACACACAGAATGCAATTCATTCAAAGGAAAATATGCCAGTAGCAAACCGGTTTGACTGGGCTTGTGCATGCAGCTCAATTATGCCTCTACCCTACGCTGTTTCCCAAAATATATGTCATATACTATACAGTTACACAAACATGAGAGTCAGAGTCAACAACATGACAGCACAGCTTTGTAATCAGGTTCATTTTCTCACAACTGTTTTGGTCCTGCCATGAAATATTTACACCGTGGCTCAGGAGGACCTCCTGTAGTCCATCCAGAATCTGTCATCAGCTGGCCAATCAGGTCTCAGGTTACTGACACTGACACAAACTTAGCAGATAAACTAATGATAAATACAAATGTGAGTGATTCTTTCCTTAATTATTATTATTATTATTATTATTATTATTATTATTATTATTATTATTAGTAGTAGTAGTAGTAGTAGTAGTAGTAGTAGTAGTAGTAGTAGTAGTAGTAGTAGTATTATTGTTACTACTATTGTGGAAAAAAGTAATGCATTTAATTAGCTGTAACTTCAATTTGAGGTAATTGTGCAATTCAGTATGGAAGCTCTTACGCATGTCAGCATTCAGATTTTCAGCTCTTATCACTCCACGCCAAATAATGTGGATTATTCCATCACTCTTCAGTCGTGTTCTTCTAATCTCTCTGATTTTATATTCAGAGAGAACGGCACAAAAGCATGGCACAGTTTAAGTAAACGCAAACACACAGCCTACCTGAGGCGCACATGGAGTAAATGCTCTCTGTCGTATGCACATTGCAGAGCAAAGCTGCCAAACATGACAGTCAGCCAAGCAGTCCTATACGGAGCCACAGACTGAACCACATTATGTATTCCTGTCAACTCCTCAGCTCAAGGTGAACCAAGCTTTTTTTGTTTTGTTTTGAAGAAAAAGCTGGGAACTAACTGACACGAAATATACATGCAACCGATTCATGGAGAACGCCCGCATGCTGCTATGCATGGGTTCAGCTGTCGCACTATCTCTGTCCCACCTCTTATCTGGAAACCAGAGCTGAGGTGCAAGAGAAAACACTCACTGTCATGCACACACGTAAAGAAAAAAAAACAAAAACAAAAACCAACTCACAAGCAAAAACTAACACAATCAATCAAGGGTGTTTGACGAGACACAGATGGGAAGACAATTGAATCAGCAGAGCTTTATAATTTAATTATTTTCATTGCTGCACATGCTGCCAGGAGTTCTGTGGAAGCTGTCAGTTCACGTACTTGTTCAAAGCAATAGCAATCTCTCCTCAAGTTGCAATATGTGGTAAATAAACAGAATACACAGACACGGTCTCGAAGGGGAAGAGCTTGCATTGGGTACCCCTGCTCTGTGGCATGCTCTTTGATTTTCATGCTTTAAAAAAATGACTGGGGATTTGTCATGAACAGTGCACACAATGCAATCGGCACGCTACTGCGTTCAAAATGATGTTCACCTACTCAGTGTCAATCGTATGCCAAGAAAAATCCCTTCACATTCAAAACAATGAGAAAGTGCTCATGTTCCTCATGCCCAGTTCCCAAGACCGTGTCCAAACAGAAACTCGAAACTCAACTACTAGTTTCACACCTCCTGTCTTTCTGATCATGCTGCCGTTGATGCTCTCTTTCTTGATTTTTGACCTATTTTGCACATACCTCAGCACTGAGCTGTACTAGGCTTGTTTGCCTCCCCGTTGGCCTGAATGGATCCACTTATCCTATGACCTCATTCACTGACTGAACTGTTTTCAGAGAAGGCACTCCAGCTGACTGCACCATTTTCCTTTTTTTCCCCTCTTTTTTTGGGTGAAAGCATCATCATGCGCTCGAAAGTTTTGACAGTGTTGCAGTGCACACGGATCCCAAAGGGAAAGCAGTTTCCGATGCAGGGAACATGACGTCTGCCAACAAACGAGAGCAAACTTAAAAGTCGGTTCTGCGTCACACTTTTAACAATACCTGTCAAACTGAGATTTTACTTTTTAAAGCTTAAAAGAAGAGGGGGTGAAAAAAAAAAAGCCATCAGATTTTCTTGAGAGTAGAATGAAGAAAGAAAAAAAAAAAAATCAGCTGACTGGAAAACATTCAAGATCAAGCACTAACATGTGCAATGTTCCATTACAGTAAATGACAATCAGGAGGAAGTGTGGCACAGTAAAACCAAAACTGATCACAATGAGCAGCCAAATAAGTCCAGTTTTCTTTCACTTTCCGCCCAGTTTGGCCTAAATCTAGATCTCATTTGTCAAACGCTGCTTTAAATATGAATTTTTATAATTCTGAAGAATTATAAGAGCAATGTGCAGTCCTGCAGCAGCTCCATAGCCTCCACAGCTCTCTGCTGAAGATCCAGTGATAAATATTTTTTAAAAACACCAAAAAAAAAGAAGAAAAAAAAAAACCCCAGGCCACTGCTTTTAATTTCACATAATACAAAAAAAGCTGACACAACAAATCCTCCTCATTTTGCTGCATTTTGCACAGAAAGTGTGGACAACTACAAACGAAAGCACCACCCCACCGCTGCTCTTTGGATGCCTCTTACTCACCCATGCATTAAAAAAGAAAAAGAAAAAAAAAGAGAGCTCAAAGTGACATCCAAAAATAATTTCCATAGAAATACGCCCAGCCAATCTCTCTCCAATTAAGTGATGCTCTCTGAAGTGCTAACAGCCTCTTTCTTTCTTTTTCCCCTGAAGAAAGCTCACCAGAAACCATCATTAGAGACTTAAACCCAGCCCTACATGGGAAAATGGGTCGCAGCCTATTTAAATAGCAAACTGAGCTTCAACATCATAACTGCTGCCTGCCCTGTAATTACTGTTTATGTTAAACTAGTTGAGTGGGTTTCACCATGTAGCCAAAGTTGTAGCAATACACTACTTAAAAAACAAAACAAAACTTATTTTTGTTGTGTTTTTTTGTGCTAAGATTTAACACCTAAAGCTACCACTTGTTTGGTCCGTGTACTGGCTCACGCTACATTTCTTCCCTAAACTCATGACACAGACTTGGTCATGTTTAGGAAATTCTGTATTAGAAAGCTGGAAATGAGTCAGTTAAACATGAGCAAGCCCTCACATGCCCCCTGTCTGACTGAACGGCAGACGGTGTCACTTGTTGTAGAAGCTATTGTGACATAGTTAATACAGTCCAAACGTATGAAGGTCTCACGGAGAATAAAGCTACCTTAAATGTGTAAACGACTGTTTCTAGAAATTAACCACAACGACCAAACGACACCAAAACTTCCCAGATGTTTCTTTCACCTACCTCAAAGTGAAGTCCGCGAATACACCACAAACATGGCTCCAGCTCGGTAAAGAAAATAGTAAAGTCAAGTCAAAAATCTTCCAAAGTGTTTGTTTGTTTTGCACCCGGTTGTTTACAGTAGCGTTACTACTCACTCGTCCATCTGGGAGGAAGATGACTCTGGTGTCTCGGGAAGCACAAGTCGAAGCCACTCCTCGAGCTCAAAATCTGACTCCAATTAGGATTCCACGGTTGCTGCCTTCAAGTGTCATGGGAAATATTTGGCAATGGTGCTGTAACCTGACCAATCACGTCGTTAAAAAGTTCTTGAGGTGACGTTTGCAGGAGGGCGGTTGTAAACCTCCACTGTCAACTATCCGTCGTTGAAAGTCAGTGATTGTTAATAAACCAGGCTATTCGCGTACTGGCGAATAGCCTCAATTAATACAGCGTGCCTAGCTTTAAAGGTCTCTCCCGCCCCCTGCCGCACGGCGCTATTCTTTGCGACTTATTTTCAAAACAAGCAAATTACGGCAGATGTCTTGTGTAGTCCGGTAAAAATATTTAAAAGTAGGGTGGCAAAGTGTAGCAGTTTGTTTAAATCACTTTGACTAAATGGGAATTACGACAAACTCGCAAAGCAACGTTTAGGATTTCAAAATAAAAGTATGTCCCTTACTGATGGTTGTAGTCGTAGTCTTCACCCAGGCATGTAGCTGTCATTAGTGCTATGCAATACTGCAAATTTAGTGCCGTAAAAATTACTTACTGACCAAGTAAATAGAGGGCCAATTTAGTCAATACTGATATTTTAAACCTGTAAAGGCAGCTTTTAGCGGCGAGAGCAATGTGTCATGATCATCATTAGTTTGCAAATTCTGAAGACATTTTAAAAACCACTAAATCACTGTGATTTTATTTTTTTATTTTTTTTATTTTTTTAACTTTACACAATCAAAACACACCTCTCAGCTTTTACTGTATTTTTGAAACTGTTGGAGACCTGGAATGTAAATGTGCTTGCCTCTTTGGGTCAACTTCCGTTGTTTAAATGGGCCAAAGGGCAAATAAAATAGAGGTGACAGACAGTCAACACAAAAAAGATTCAGACATTTTTCTAATGCACATGTGCATGAGGTATATATTTTTTCATTTATAAACAATAATTTATTTAACACAATTCAGTGTTACAGGACTGAAACAAAATATCGTTCCTACTATCGAGCTAGTATCAATCTGACACCAGTACTAGCATTGGACTGACCCGGCCACCTCTAGTTGTCATTCACTGTCTCTCCCAAGTTTCATTTCTTCTCTAAACTGCCCAAATAAATGCCTCAAAACATTTCAGCTACTTGTGCTCACTAATTCTGCCAATGAATACTTTTAATTGATGATTTAAAACAGCTATTTGCTGGTTAGATTGTCCCAGCAGCTGGCCAAGAGCTCAGTTTTGGTTTCTCTTTGTTTTATCCAGAAATTGTTGTCAGACTGAAGTAATAAAATGACTACATCACACAGGACTACTTACATATACCCTGCCTTTACTGACAATTTTTTTTTTTCCACAGCTGTTGCAATTTTTTCAACAAAAAAAAGAGGAAGAGCTGTCTGAGACTTGTGAATCACACAGTCACCGCATGGGATATCCTGTTGTACCCAGAAAGCTTTCGTGTAATTTGAACAAGGCAGGGAGAATCACAGGGTCATTAACACCCTAAGCTTCCTTCTTTTGTAGCTTTGGGGGATTTGTCGTAGCACAGAAAGCTAAGAACCGTATGGAAAATAAAGAAAGTGTAACTTGTGCTTCTCCGAAGCTTCCAGTTTGCTGCAATTCAGAAGAATGCATTATCAAGAATGGCAGTGATATTTTGATGCATTTAGGGAGTCACAGACACTTAAACCTCTGTGCGACGTTTACAACTTGACGTCATCAGTCACTGAAATTGTTTACATGGCTGTCATATGAGTCCTGCTGGTATTTTGCTAATGTCAGGGGGGATGGTGTTCCGAATGGTTATTTTAGCTTTTTTCATTTTTCATTCATCTTCGTCTCTGTCAAGCATGAAGCTCAAATAATGTTCTGCTGTCTCTTAAATGAAGACATACTGCTGAGACCTGACCTGGTTTGCTCTGTCTTAGTCATATTTCATCTCTTGGCTTATATGTTTCTGAATTTGTCTTTGGTCTGGACTCAACATTGCTCTGTGTGTGTGTGGTTTTCCTAATAGCTAGTTTCTGACACACTGGCCTTAAAATACACTGAGATGCTGTTGATTGAGGATTCTCCAGAGTGACACTCCAGCCAGGTACGAGATGACTTTTCACATTTGTGCTGCATCTCTCCTCTGTGCTGTCCTGCTCTTTCTAATAGCTCATGTAGCTGTGTTGATAAAGGCCCACTTTAGCTAGCTGCAAGCTTTTAAAGCTTTCCTGAGATGTTTGCACTTTCCTTTTCACTTCAGTGCTATTTGGCACAGTATAAGCCCTGTGGTGAGGAGTCCTACAATAACAAACCCCGACTTTTCCCCCTGCTTCGCCAGATGTGTTTGTAAAGCAGTTTTAAACCATCTGGATCTTGAGGGATATGGTGTGGAGAATACAAACCTTGCTGTGTTCTACAACACTGTCATCTTGAAAGTTAAAAAATAAAATAAAATGTTCTAAAATATTCCTTTTTGACTCATAAAAGTCCTGTGAGTTAAAAATCTCCAGATGAAGACAGGATGAGGGAATCCCTTGAAAAGAAAATATTACAGTTAATTTCTACTCCATAATTTTATTCTTGGGCTGTACTAGAGGAGATTTCCATGGTTTTTAAATCAAAATAATCACCATTTACCTTCTGTTAGCCCTTTGACCTTCAGCTCATCTTCTGTGTGAAAGTTCATCTTTCAGCTTCGTTCTTCTTATATTACTATATTCTGATTGGCTGTCTATCACAAACAGAAGATTTAAAACAGAAAAAGGAAACAATTAGGTTGGGCTTCTGCACTTATAACCTAAGCTGTGTACCTGAAATATTGAATCTTCATATTTAATTTCAGAATTCACTGCTATCTACATACGCTATATGGACAAAAGTATGTTCAAATTCAGGTGTTTTCAGCACAGTTTTCTACAGGTGTGCAAAATCAAGCAGCCAGCTATGCACTCTGCCTTTATATATGCTTGTGAAAGAATGGGTCATTGTAAAGCAGGGATGACTAACTCGTGTTACATTATGGGCCCTAACAGCCCACTTTGATATTAAGTGGGCCGGACTCCATTCTGTCAGTGTAAACCAAACATGTAACCCCTGAGATATCTTAAAAAAGAAGAGCAGTTTCAATAGTACATCTATGTCAGTGTTCTACAACAAATAAATGTTGTTGTAACGAATAAGGAAATCTCTACAGTAGATAATAAAAAAAGGAACTTTTCTCTGATTTAAGTGTTTATCTATTACTTAATTACTTTGGAATAGTAAAAATGGCAACGATGGAAATGCTGTAAAACGAATGATAAAAGTCCAAGTTTATGCCCCCCTTCACATTTTCCGAAGGCGTCCAATGGGCAGATTGGAGTCTTTGCCCTCGGGCCTTTAGCTCTGAAACCCTTTAGCTCTGTTCTAAAGAGGTACATAGTACTGTGATAAAATGTCATCATTACAACAAGTTTGTGAGATCTCTTCCTTTATAGATATTGCACAACAAACTGTATGTGGTACCACTGCATACTCAAACTCAGCCACATAGTGGCAGACCACCTAAAGTTACGCAGTGGTGTTCCCAAGTGCTGAGGACTATAGTGCATAAAACTCATCTGTGCTCTGCTGATTCAGTAACTGCTCAGTTCCAAACTTCCATTAACATCAGCACAAAAACTGTGGGCCAGGAGCTTCATGACGTAAGTTTCCTTGCTCGAGCAGCTCCTGAAGGTGTCCGTATAGTGTATCAATGTCTAACAGGAAGTAAGGGAAAGCATAAAAGGTCACCTTTAAAACATTTGAGGGAAGGTTAACAGTAAAATGAAATGACCTAGTGTGATTAATCAGTCCATTATCGTTATATATGAAATGTATTACTGAAAATTGGATGTGAGTTGACGTAGCTGTGCAGCAGTTAGCACAGCACACAGCAATAAAGGTTCCTGTAGTCAGTTGGAGCCTTTCTGTGCTGTTTGTATGTTCTAAATGTGTCTACGTGGGTTCTCACCAGTTTTTGTGGCTTGCCTACTCAGTCCAGAAACATGTGCATTGCATTCTAAATTGGCGTGTACTTGAATGGTTGTCTGCGTCTTTATGTTAGCCCTTTGATGCCTAATTTCAGCAGGGATGGGCTTGATAGAAATTGTAGAAATATAAATGCAGCTGCAGCACGGCAGCTAAAGATTTTGCAGCTGCAGCTGGTTATATTCTCATTACTGCATTTTTAAAACACCCATTTCCTCCTATAGTTCTTCATTTTGTAAAAAAATGTGAGAATTATCAAAGAATTAATGAAACATGCTTGTAACACAGGGGCTGCATTTTGCAAGGATATCTGAATTAGAAAAGCGCATGAAAGTTATCAGCTTTCTGATCCATGTTGTTTCACTCAAAACATTCAATTATTCATTAAACTGGTTAAGATTAGTTCCATTAAGACTTTTATTGACAAATTCAAATCTTCAATCAAAATTGTATGTACTACCAAATAAGTGTAGGCATGATCAGACTATGACTGTAAGAATTTGAAGATTCTGATGAGGGTTTCAAAACAAGTTTTATTGAAATTTGTAATAACATCTGAAGCTATTTTGCTGCATTAGAAGCAGTTAACAGTGCAGCAGTATTAGAGGTCATTTCAGGGCCAGTGAAAAGAGATAGGTTTCCTCTTATTAGCACAAATTATTTTTATGTTTCCAGCAACAGAAAGTGGAACAGTTTATCAGCGTAGGCTCTCGCTGGATAAATCAGAAATGGAAAGATAGACTCCTGAACAGAGCAGCAACACTTAAACAGTGGTGTACCGAGCTGGACCGGGACAGGATCGGAAAGGAGAGGGCCCGCTGGGGAAATCAGACAGGAAGACAGGGTTGTGAGAGGGCGAGGTGTTGTTCAAAGCCTGGCGTTTTTCACGGTCACGCCTCTGGTAGTGGAAGTTAAAAGGGGGACGCAGAGCCACAGGGCCTCCGATTTCCTCGGAGGATGAGTCAGAAGCCTCAGTGAGTAGACCTTCAGCAGACTCACTGGAAGAAGAGCTAAGAGGGACAGCTGGGTTAACACCCACAGAGGGGTCAACAGGGTGAACGGCAGTGGAAAAGGGAGGGTCAGAGGGAACAGGCTGCGGATCGTTTCCTGGGCCACCAATCACAGGTGGGAACGTCGGGATTGCTGGGTTTTCTGGGAGGTCATGACCCTGTGGCTGCACCGGCCGGAGGACATCCACATTCTGAAGAGACGCAGACAACACCACACCAAATGAGAACTCTTCTGGCTGCACGAATGAATTTTACTCAATACTGTAAAACTACTTTACAAACCACACGCTCTAAAAAGAACTGAGAAGACAACATAATTACAGCGCAGGAGCATACAATTTGAAATCTCACACATAGGATTAAACACACACACACAAAACCACCAACTTGTAAGATATGACAGAATAATTATATGACCGCTGGCTTCCATTTAGAGAGTTAAATGTTCACTATAAAGGTTACTTTAGTAAAAAAAACCTGAAAGAAAACAGAGAAAATGAAACATTCATCAAGTCAAGGTCAAGCAGTGGGCTGCTACACTCACAACTCACAGTCCCACAGTGTGAACTGACACTAAATGCTACACTTTTCCAGAAGTTTTTGCTTTTTTTTCTCAGTTACTGACATTCTTCTATTAATGCATTTAAATTTTCTGTTCACTTTTGGGTTGCGGATAATTCAGCTGCTATCATTGTTACACCTCCGCTGCGATTTTCCTGCATGTAGGACGTTCACAGTTTTTGATAGAGAACAATCAGAACAGGTTTTTAGGTCAAATCTTGCGTGCACACTGAATGTTGGCTTTACTATAAATCTAAATCTGTTCTTCTTCTTGTCATGGGAGAATAAGAAACATGTAGTCACTTCTATTCCTTTCCTCCTCATCATACTGATGTTATAGTTGTTGTGATTTTATAGGATCTTTGCATAAATGAGCTGCCACTTTGGCTTAGCAACGCAATATTAAAAAATATTACGTAATTTCCTCCCATACCTGCACTTTAAACATCTCACAGGACGTCTGGACATCAGGATCAGTATTCTTGTTTCCATGTACAGATCCTGTGCAGAAACCTGCAGTCTGAGAGAAGAGTGTGAGACATTTGGTAATGCATTTCTGTGACACACTGGGAGACTATTAAAAAGTAAGAGTATGACACAGGGTGGGTTAAAATAATTAAAATAAAATGTACATTCCTTCTCAGGAATCTTCAGTTATAAATAAATACAAAAACATGGCATTAGTTCAGGCAGTAAATTAAGTTAAGCTCAGCAACAGTCCCTGCAGCTCAGCTGATGTTTTTACTAGAAGTTGATATCAAAGCCTGCTTTACCCTGCAAATAAACGTTGTGCATCTGCAAGCCGCTTTGCAACCCACCTGCACCCCAGCACCACTATTCATGTCTGAATAAGCCTAAACCATTAAGTGACGTCACATTTTAAACGTAACTGAAGTAGTCATGTCAGCTAGTAAATCATCCATGAAATTATCCAGACATCACACACACAATGGTGATCAATGAATTGATTTGTAATTAAGTGCTGTTTCAGACAGCGCTGCTTGACTATGTCTGAGTGCTAATTTATCATTAATATGCACTAAGTGGCCACGTAAATAGATCTAGAATCCATACAGCTCTTCCATCAATTTCACCTTTGTGAAGTTTGTAATGTTCAATTTTTGTTGACCTTGGAAATGCTTTTGTCCTTCTTGTTTACATACACAAGGAGGCCACAACATCTGCTTAGCTGGGACACTAAGGACCTAAAAATAAATAATCTCCAAAAGTGGCATGACTAAACAATACAAGAATCCTAAAAAACAATAAATTAAAGCACATTGTGCTGGTGCATCTAAATTGGTGTGTGAATGTGTAATTTTTTTTTGAGTAACTTCTATACGAGTACCTCTGTGTCCGAGTCAAGTGTCAGTCGCTGGCAGGTGCCTCTTTCTGTCACTCCCTCGGGGCATTCTTGCACTGTGTATTCCACAAAGGTGGCTTTTACTGGCACAGACTGAAATATAAAAATAATATAGGAAGAGAGGAGGAAACTGCAAAAACAAACACAAGCACAGGCACAAATAGAGATGGCAGGGGTTTTTTTTATTGCCGCAGCTATCATGTTGGTTTTTCCATCCTGAAGCTGGACTATCATATGCAAAAGCAGTGTACTTAGCTTTGGTCCCCAAGCAAACTATTCAGTTTTTCTCATTTGCTCCCCAAACAAAAGCTGGGCCATGGAGGAAAGTGCCTTCAGTGATCCTTTGCAACCTTGCCAGACTCGTCTATAACTATTGCGTGATGGTGATGCTTGTGCAATAATGGTTCTTATCTGGAACACAGGTGCACTGTACCTTCTGCATATGTATACCCAGAGAATTTCCTTAAGTGTGATTTCCCCCCATAAACATAACGTTTGACGCACTGTCAAGCAATCAAATTAGCCCCGCAGCTTTCTTTCCCCCCATCAAAGTTAATAACAGTATATCTAGCGATACCTGCGCGGCAGCTCTGGTGATTTTTTTCACCCCGAGCCCTGCAGCCATAGTGGACGTCCTTTTATAGGATACCAGAGTGACCCGAGCAGCAGTCATGGCCTCGGGGCTGTCTACGGAGAGCAGGAGGGGGCATGTTGGGCAGATCTGCTGGAGTTTCTCTGGAGAATCTGCAGAAACCACAGAACTGAATAAGAATGAATAAGTAAACGTCTGTATTAAATTACATCAACAAACAGATGATAGATAGAGCAGTGGCACTAAATTTACAGTGAAAGCAGAAAAGGAAAAAAAGTCATGTCATTTTGAACGGATACACAACTTTTCGCTCTCCAAATGCACTTCAATCGGACGACTACATCTCTTTTCATGACAGTGAGGTGTAACCTGCTTTTGCTGATGTCTCCAAAGTAGCACCAAACCAAACACTGTGGCAGTGAGAGAGAAGGGAAATCGATTGAGATCGGGGCGAAATCATAATTTTCACGTTCGACCTTTTGATTTGTCATAGTGGGAAATTCACTAGTGTGACTAATTGAAAATTAATTAGGACTCAGCTCCATTAGACTGGGCCATCATTAATGTTATTAGTTACACCTGCACGTAACAAATTGAGATACTCACAGTGAAACGTCGATACTTTTCTCTCCTCAGGTCTTTGCTGTTCTTTCTTATGAGACTTTTTCCTTACTGGATATTTACAAGTTCTTTGTTTTAATTCAATATTTTCTTTACCTTAAATCTCCAGCTTGATGTGGTATCCAAAGCAGCACATGCCGGCTGCATGATCTCTGATGCTACACATTATTTAAAGATATCGATAAACAGTGGGTATCTAATAATAGATGTTATGTTGCGACTCATGTTGCACAGCACTGTATGCACGCGACCTTCTGTGTACATGAGCAGTTAGTGGTTAGGAACCTGCTAACGTTACCTGGCACGAGAGCACACTCGTAGCTGTATAAGTAGGAGTAGCCCTCTGGTGTGTGCAGGATGGTGGTGTTGCAGTTGCCAGAGATTTGCTTTAAAAAAATAAAAAAAGATAAAACAGACAGAATTCGTGATTGGCCCAATATCAACCACTTCACTACAAAGACTTGGCACAATGTGTTCAAACAGATGCAAGAAGAAAAAACTTTGAATGTACTCTCAGTGTACTATCAGTGAGACCAGTGTGAGTGTTTTGGCTTGTGTTACTTCTTCAGAGGGCTGTTTTTGGCTTATAAGTCGCTCACCTATACGGAAAAGAAATAAACTCATTTGAATTTCCCATTGCCGTAAAAAAAAAGGTTGTGTTTGTAAGTTTTAGAGGACCGACATTCACCAGCCACTTTGTTAGGTACACTATGCTGCTAGTACTGGTTTGGACCCTTTTTTGCCTTCAGAGCTGTCTTAATTCTTAATAGCACAGATTCAACAAGGTTGCTGGAAATATTCCTCAGACATTTTGGTCCATGCTACGTGACAGAATCACGCAGTTGCTGCAGATTTGTCCGCTGTACACTCATGATTCGAATCTGCTGTTCCACCACATCCCAAAGGCGCTCTATTGGATTGAGATATGGTGACTGTGGAGGTCATTTGAGCACAGTGAAATCTCTATCATGTTAAAAAAAAAAAGAGGTTGCGATGATCTGACCTTTGTGACATGATGCTTTATCCTGATGGTAGCAGCTATTAGAAGATGGTTACACTGTGGACACTTTCGGCAACAATAATCAGGTAGACTGGGATGTTAAAAATATTTATTTGGTACTATTAATTGTTAAAATGTGCAAAGAAATGATCCCCCACAGCATTACACCACTTCCACCACTTCCGTTGATATAAGATTAGGATGGATCCATACATTCATGTCATTTACACCACATTCTGACCCTAACATCCAAACCTCATAGCAGAAATCCAGACTCTTAAGGGAAGTTCAAGTTTTTCTAGCCTTATCTGACATGAGTAGGGCACCCAGTGTGGTCTTCTGCTGCTGTAGCCCGTCTGCTCAGAGGTTTGTGTTGTGCAGTAAGAGATGCTTTTCTGCATATCTTGGTTGTTTCCTTGCTGTCATTTGAAAGCTGTCTGGCTGTTCTCCTCTGACCTCTGATGCCAGCAATGCATTTTCACCACTCACTGGTTGTTGTTTCTTTGAGCCCTAGAGATGATTGTGTGGGAAAATCCCAGTAGACAGCAGTTTCTGATGCGCCCAGTCCAGCCTGTCTGCTATCAACAATCATTAACAAGCAGTTGAACAGATGTACCTAATAAAGTGGCCCATGATTGTCATGCCAATGGTTCCTTTCATCCTTTTGTCAAAGGAGCTGCTTTTATGATTAAATCAATAGTTTTTTTTTTATATAATGGAAGTTTCATAAGTAAAATATGTAAAATATGTAAACCATACATATCTATTTTAACAGAATAGATTTTTCCATTTTGTGGGAAAGATTTCCTCCAAATGCCCAGTTACTGAAGAGTAATACATTTATGCTTTGAAAAAAGTCACAGTAATAAAATAGATCTGCCAATGGAAATGGGTAAAGTGACTGTGACTTCTGTATGAACACCCTGACACTTCCAAAAACTCAGAAATACCTTCATGTCCAAAGTTTCATGTATATGGTTTAAGTGTGACTTTCTTACATTGTCCAGTTACAGTGTGGGACATATCTTATAAACAGTGCCTTCAGGCATATAGGGGCCTCCTACTCGTGCGGACACATGCTCTTGTTTGTATACGTGTGAACATCCTACCGTTTCCATGAATGGCCTGACGTCACAACGTTTCCATGGTTTCTTGCTGCCTGTGTGACACTTGGTCTCCAGGACTTCCAGGTCGAGGTAATACACGTTGCCTGCCGGGCCCTGTAATTCAGAGTATAAACACATGCAATAAAGGAGAGCAGGCATTAGCAAAGCTATGAGGCTCAAATTTATGAGAAGTCCTCCTGCCAAGTAGCATCATTTGTTCTGTTAAGTATATCAATAAGGGACCATTTAGGAGGTGCTCTGTGTAATTCCACATAACACTTTGTACAATAATGATTTGTCAACACTTTGCGCCACAGTAGTAGCAGCCTTTTTAGGTCATGAAGTTGATCTGAGCCTCTTAAAACCTGATCTATCCCACAGTCGGGCCACTATAGCCTTCAGCAGCTGACAGCATGAAGTTCATAAAGTCTGTTGTGCAAGGTTTGTCCCAGCAGTGCTGGACTGAAATGACCTGGACTTTATTAACGCTCGCTTCAATCCTAGAGGCCTTTTTTCATGAGGCGTGAAAAAGGAATGGCTTCCCGTTTTATGATATAAAATTATGTACTTTGATCTTAATGCTACATTTATTAAAAGCGACATGCACTGATGGCGGCCATTCGCACCAAAGTGTTTCTTGTTGTTTTTAGTACTTACGTTGCTGCTCCCTAATGAAACTGCTGCTGTTTTTCACAGCTTACATGTAACCCAGTGGGTCCTCAATTGGAGAATCTAGAAGCCACAGCGAGTCCTGGAAAAGGGTCATTTCTGATTTTTGTTGTTTTAAATCTTATCAAATGGGCTTCCCCTGACATGAATCTGGTCACGGCTGATACATAGAAACACTTCCCACCCTGGTCTTGGATGAACAAACGTGTTTTACAGCCTCCTCTGGTCTTTGTACTGACCTGAGCGTGCAGATGGACATTCGCGATGCGGTTCAGGGCAAACTTGTAGCCTTCGCTGCGATCCTCATTGATGTAAGTGACGGCCAAGCGAGACAGCTTCTCCACCGCTTTGTCGTTACAGGGGATGGGAGCAAGTTCAACTGGCATTAGTACGACACCCTCTCCACACACACACAGGATGTGAATGGATAGTGATATTAGATATAGTAGTTTGTCCATGACGGCAGGTGGTTTTTAGACGGGAGCCAGAAGACAGGGCCGTTTTATAGTGAAGTTTGTTCCCTGGTGTTTGCCTTCAGTCGAGGCATTGACTTTTGGAATCAAAACAGGACGGCGCAGCTGAAATGACGCCAAGGACAAAGTTTATTTGACGGCAGAGAGCTGATACTTGTGAATAGATGTTCCTGGTATTTATTTAACCTCTGGAACACACAGTCGTCAAAGGCAAATAGAACCTATGTCAAAACGGCCATTCAATATACTTATTCCTGTGGCTCCAATATTAAGACTGGGGGTTATTTTATTGTTTCTGCAGGAGTTGTTTCCATACTGTGCAAGAGGTGTATGTCATGCAAACTAAATTAGTGCAATAGATACCTCATTAAATGACAATGAACACCAAAGAGAGCGTGCAATGCCTTCAAGACTGGGTCACTGAGTTGAACTGTAATATTATTATCTCACCAGTAGGGGTCACTGTGGATCTGGTAAGATGCGGGTTGAGAAATCTATTGGTCCACCAGGCAGAACTGGGTTAATGATTCACTGATATCAAGTTAATTACTTTAGCATTTGATGTTGATGTTGTCTTAGAGCCTCATAACTCTGATATTTGTGTTTTCCTATCTTCATTTTTTTCCCCGAGGAACCCAACTGCCCTTAATCCTACTCAACTTACTTTGTTGTGGTAAATAAGTAACCATAGTCTAATTGTTTTAGATTTTATAAACCAGTGTAATGTTTACAAGAGAAATCAGATTTTCTTTTTTAAATAAATGTACATAATGTTCCTTTTTAAGTAATAAACAGAAGGTAAGGCCCTCGTAGAGAGTGTGCATTTGTGTGTAGAAGGGTGGTGGTGGGGGGGTTCACATTTTTTGGGAGAAGTACGGCTGCTTCCATTGTTCATGAGAACATCGATGACTAATGTCTGTAACTGCAGCTCGGTACAGACTGGCATACCGGAGAGCACACGTGCATGGCCTATCTCGTTCTCTCTTGTTTTTCTCTCTCACACATATGCTTGCATTTAATTAATCATAGATTTTACAAAGCAAAGTTGTTTTTTTCGCATACACTGATGAATAAAGAATTCTAAAGCATTAGTTTTATACAACTGGGAAATACTCACATTTGCCCTCTGGCAAGGCTGTAAATCTAAGTAAAGCTAAGATGCTGTTAGCTTAGCATAAAAGGCAGCAACAAGGAAAAGCAGTCTAGCTGTGGATTTGACCAGGTGGTGACATCAGGGGTTAAAAATAATGTCAAGACAGAAAGGGCAAAAGCAGGCCCTCAAATGGCTACTCGAGGCTGGCTCCGAACCCGAATCACTCAGAATAGGTCAAAGTGCCCAACCTTTCATCTGGAATACACATGTTTACAGCCTTTTGCCAAAATAAATAAATTAATAAACCCTTTGGTTCTCTGTAGATAATTTCCTCAACTTTTACAACTGATACATTGCTTCCTCCCTTTAGCAGTTGCCACAATGGATCTCCTGTCTTCCATCTCTCTCTGCTCGTTGGATCCTTTTCTGTCACACCAACCCTCTGCATGCCCTCCTTCACTGCATATGTGAAACTCCTCTGTGGTCTTCCTCTTTTCCTCCATATTCATCATCCTTTGTCCATTATATCCACTATCCCCCACTGCACATGTCCAAACTATCCCAGCCTCACCTTTCTCACTTTACCTCCAAACCACTCAACCTGAGCTGTCCCTCTGATGTTCTCATTTCTAATCCTGTCCCTTCTGGTCGCTCCCAACAAAAATCTTATCATCTTCCACCTTGCCATCTCCAGTCTGGCCTCCTGTCTTTTCAGTTAGTGCCACCCTCTCCAGCCTATCCATCATAGCAGGTTATAAACCTTCCCTTTCACTTCCCTCTCCCTGCAATCCTTCTGTCACAAAATACCCCTGACACCCTGCCTCCACTCTCTTCTTCACTTCTCCTGTGCACTCTCCTGCTTTGGGTGGTTGACTCCAAGTATTTAAACTCATCCACCTTCACTTACAGTTAAGTAATGCTGTGGTAAGGCCACTTCGACTCACACCTGCACAGTCTGAGGATGCCACGAGGTCTCAAAACAGGAGATTACAAACTGGTGGGTGATGTCATGGTCGCTGTATCCATCATTTATATGCAGTCTATGCCTTACATAAAAGCTATATAGGCGAATCTCTTAATGAAGGACCTGCTGGTATGACATGGCAATGCCCTTTGTGTTAAGCTACATGCTTGTGGTATGAGAACCCTCTCAAGTCCATTTTTCAAACTGTTGATTTTTCTAGTTGCCTTTCATCCAGAAATTAAGATCATCTGAGTTTAGTGTAAAACGCCATAAGCCAGTTTGTTTATACATTTCAGCGATTTTCACTTTGCTGGTGCTTTCGGGTTGAAAGTAAACCTGGAGTGGTTAAAATATTTAACATAATATTCCACCGCAGAGGGTTCTTTTTTGCAAGCATCTGTCCAGGGATAATCATTTAATCCATTTCAAATATTCACTGAACCAGGTTCAGCTCTCGACAAGGAGCAGGAGGAGGGAGGGAGAGAGAGAGAGAGACTCGCTCAGCAGAACAAATTCTACTAATATCAGGGAAAAGAGAGAGAGAGAGAGAGCTGCTTCCATGCTGTGTGCGCCCTTTGTGTATGTGTGCTTTCATACGAGAGAATGTGAACCGGTGTTTGTCTGTGTGCACGTTTTGACCACGCAGAGCCATGCATTCATGCGTCAGTGTTACCGGGAGCCAGTTGTGTTGCTGCAGAAAAACAGAAAGAGTCTGTGGGGGAGAGATAAGAACGGCACGGCTGCTCCAAGGACTTGCTCTACCAGCACAACGCCAGACCCAAGTTAGACAAACCTCCTTTGATGTGAGCACTGAGTAATCTCCCCTTCTGCTAGCTGCGGATAGATGCCGCACTGTAGTGATGCCCAGGCCCTGATACGAGGGGGCTGCTGCCACCGGGGCTCCTGCTGTTCACTTTGTACAGTGATGAGCCTGCGGGAAGAGAAGAGAAGAGAAGAGAAGAGAAGAGAAGAGAAGAGAAGAGAAATTTGTAGCGTGACGTTGGTCTAAAATACGCTCTGAAAGGTTTCACTGAAGTTTCTCGCAGAGCAAAGTTTTACTCTGACATGGTTTAAATGCTGCTTCAGAGAAGTTCATTAGTATTGTTTTCAGTGGAGAATTGCAGTCTTCCATGCTCTAAATGCTGTTTCACAGACCTTTCCACCTTGCCAAGAACAAATTTCTGGGGGGAACCCCCCCCCCCAACCCTCTGTGTCACATCCCTTGCCAGTAAAAGA